GTAGAAATGCGGGAAATTGCATGAGATACGGGAGGTGGGAGCATGCATCCCCATAACGGCTCTAGCATGCACATAGGGGAGAAGGAACTGGGATCTTACTTTGTTAGTACTAACACTAAGCCTCATCAATACCTGCTTCAGAATGCAAATTTGGTGCATTAATACATGCCTACCAACGGGCTAGTCCTACCCCCATAATTGGCTTCTGGCACAAATAACAACCCAATGGGCAAATGGGAGGGAAAAGAAGAAAGAAAATGGACTAATGCGTCCTTCCTTGTTTATGTGGCTTTGGCAGCTGCAGTATGAATAATATTGGAAAATGTACTTTTCCCAAGCTCCAGAAAGCAGAGATGGATTGGGGGGTGGGGGAGGCATCCTGGGAAAATAGCATTGGCCCTACCCCAAACGACTGAGGAACTGTAGTCACAGCTTAGCAACTACCAGGGCCTCTTAGGTAGGAGGTTTGAAGACTGGCAAGTACACTTAGAACTCGTAAGGGAAACATATATTTTCTTCAATGTGTTGTAGTTTCATGCAAATTACTAATCCCAAACTGAATCAAGCACAGAGGAATCACCTCTAACTACTGTTAATATTTTGACATCTTAGCCAAAGTACACATATAACCTAATACAGTGGTATCTCTGGTTACGAACGTAATTCGTTCCGGAGGTCTGTTCTTAAGCTGAAACCGTTCTTATCCTGAGGCGCGCTTTTGCTAATGGGGCCTCCTGCTACACGCGCACCTCCGGTGCACGATTTCCGTTCGCATCCTGGGGCAAAGTTCGCAACCAGGAGCACCTACTTCCAGGTTAGAAGAGCTCGTAACCTGAAGCGTTCATAACCAGAGGTACCACTGTACACTGTGAAACACATGAGCAATACACTAGGAATCCTGTTACTACTATTAGTAAGGAAACTGGGGGAATAGGGACTTTCCCCAGCATTTTACACTACTATCCGTCGTTGTTCAGTCGTCTTAGTCATGCTCGACTCTCTGTGACCCCATGAACCAGAGCATGCCTTGGAATTTCTTCTCAAAGCTTCTCCTTTTGTCCATGGAGTGTTCATGGCAAAATACTGGAGCGGGTTGCCAGTTCCTTCTCCATAGACTACTATTATGCCTATATAATGGAACACATGGTGCTTTTACGGACAATCAAGCAAATACTAGCTCCAGCTCAAAATCTGTAAAAATCTAAATTTCAACAGTGAAGAGGGGAGAACATGCAGGATACAGTTACACATACTTTGACTTTTTTATGGTTGGGGACCAGGTAGAAGGGTTTAAAACAAAATCTGTATGAAGGATTAAATTTTGTTAAATTGTGTCTACCTGTTCAAAATTGAGACTGAATGTCCATAAGACCCACTTCCAACAGAGAGAAGAGGTTTTCTGGTGGAGATTGTTGATATCGTCCTGTGGCTGATGTGAAGTGAAGACAACCAAGAAATCGGGCGGATGCTGTAAGAACTATTACTGGCCAAAGGGACCAAAGGGCAGAAGGATCTTAAAACCCCTAGAGAAATAAGAGAAAACATTATGAAAAGCAAGCAGACCATGTATCAAGAAATGGAACCAGGAACTGCCTTTATCTAGCTTCTCCCTGTTCTGGACTTCTCTAAGTGAGTGTTGATTATTATGAGACTGATGGAGCCAGGTGAAGACCCATCTCAGAGCTTACCAGCTTAATTTTCCTCTCACCAAGAGAGAGCAGGAGGCAGGCAAAGATTACCTCAGATGTCATACTTCACAGCCTGCTTCTCCTACCCTGCCACCCTAGAAGATTGTCTAGGGCAATCCTGGGTCACAACTCCCATCATTCCTAGACAGCATGGTCAGGGATGATGGAAGTGGCAGTTCAATAACATCTGGGGACCCAAGGTTGAGAAAGGATGGTCTGGGGCTGTCAACTGTCCTGTGGAAAGGATCCCAATGGCTTTTAATGGCTCATTGTGGGGTTTTTCTTTAATGTAGTTTAATGTTTCTTGTAAATTGCCTTGGAAGGATTAGAATCATGGAAGGCAGACTATAAATAAATTGATGAAAAGAATAATTAAAAATATATATTGGGGTGAAGAGTCAATGTGGAAGGGCAATCAACCAAATGAGTGTGTGCTAATAGGACTTTATTATTTAAATAATAATAAACCCACTACAAGACTTCATCAGATCAATGCCAGTTTTCTTTTGTAATCGTTAATAATATGACTCAAAGTTGGTGAGATTTCTTGCTTACAGCATTTCACATTAAGCGAACTGCTATGATTAGTCAAAGCACTAACACTCAGACGCAAGGAAAGTGATGGTCAGTTTCCAAAAGCAGCATTGCGTCGCAGTTATCCTGCAAGATTTCATCACAACCCCCATTCCTGCTTGAAACAGCAGCAACCTTAAGATGAAAGTCTTCAGGTCCTACTTTTATTGCTGCTCATCATTTTAACCTGCTTCAGCCTCTGCTGGGAGCCAATGCTATTATACCTATAGTCTCCGTTTCTTTTTCTTTCTTTCTTTTTGCAATAGCTAGTTTAGGGTGACCTGGTGACGGCCAGCCTTTCTTCCAAATTTGGACCTGTGGAGGTAGCTCCAAAATCGGTTGGCAACTGTGTGGTCCGAGCGGGGTCAAACCAGCAAGTCCCCCATACCACCCTTTAAAGCCCTAATCGGCCTCAGTCCAGTATACCCGAAGGAGCTTCTCCACCCCCATCGTTCAGCCCAGACACTGAGGTCCAGCTCCGAGGGCCTTCTGGCGGTTCCCTCACTGCGAGATGCCAAGTTACAGGGAACCAGGCAGAGGGCCTTCTCGGTAGTGGCACCTGCCCTGTGGAACGCCCTCCCATCAGATGTCAAAGCGATAAACAACTACAGTGGTACCTCGGGTTAAGTACTTAATTCGTTCCGGAGGTCCGTTCTTAACCTGAAACTGTTCTTAACCTGAAGCCCCAATTTAGCTAATGGGGCCTCCTGCTGCTGCAGGAGCACGATTTCTGTCCTCATCCTGAAGCAAAGCACTTAACCTGAGGTACTATTTCTGGGTTAGCGGAGTCTGTAACCTGAAGCGTATGTAACCCGAGGTACCACTGTATCTGACTTTTAGAAGACATCTGATGGCAGCCCTGTTCAGGGAAGCTTTTAATGTTTAATAGGTTATTGTACTTTAATATTCTGTTGGAAGCCTCCCGGAGTGGCTGGGGAAACCCAGCCAGATGGGCGGGGTATAAATAATATATTATTATTATTATTATTATTATTATTATTATTATTATTATTATTAACGAACAAGCATCACCTGCAACAAAATAATCCGAATAATCAAATAGGGCCAACGATTTATTATAGGCGCTCTCTCTCTTCCTGCGTGTTCCTGGCTCGGTGCTAAAGCGAGGCAACCGCTAAAGCGGTGCCTGCAGTGCAGCCCAAGGGGGGATGCAGGAGTGCTGACTCTCTCCCCGCCTGTCACTCACACGACGACACCCATCCCACCCCGAGCGACCCTCAGTTAACGTTGCTTCCCCCGACCCCCATTACTGACCTGGGAGCCTTCGCGCCGCAGCGAGCGCCGCCATGTTGGCTCCTCCGCCCGCCCGCTACGGCATCCACGGAGGGTCAATGCGAAGCAGAAAGCAAAGGCGCGCGCGGAGCGCCCCGCCCCTGGCCCCGCCCCCTTCGCTGCCTTATCAAGGGAGGATCGGCTGGTCGTCGCCCGCCAAAGGGAAGCGTTCCCGGCTCAGCTCAGAAATGCTGGCTTTTTGCGGTTTTAGTTTGGGAAACGATAGACCCCGAAATCGAGTTTTGCGCGTGGCAAATTTGCTGCTTCTTCTTCTTTTTTCAATTTTTTAAAATTGTTTTTCACAGCATTATAAACAAACACATAAGACAAACAAACATAAATCATAGCCTTATTGAAAATTACACTTAATAACATTGTTAGGTGACTTCCTCGCTTCCCTTTGGTTGAATTTCTGCGTATCCTTTAAACGGTTTTCCAAATCACAGTTCTTATAAAATTTAACATCCTTAGATATTCACATTATGAAATTAAACATATCAATGCACCCCTTAACATAAATAAAATCCTAAGCCAATTAAGTATCTGCAAGCTGTTGTCAATTAATTTAACTTAACATGGCAAATTTGCTTCAGCTCGGAGCTATTTTTCGTTAAGAATTAGGAAATTATTTAACCACCCCCCTTCCCTAAATATGCTCTCTGTTACTGTTTTTGAAAATGCAAAAAAATAATAATAATTAACAAATAGACCATTCTTACAGCATCCTCCCTTCCTGAATCTGGCACGCTTAACTAAATCTGTACTGATGTTTTAAAGTACTGGATCCCACCCCCACCCCCACTTAGATTTCGTAGCTTTATCTTTTTGTAAACCACTTTGAGGTTGCTGCTATTGTTGGCTTTTTACAATTATGTATACATTTTATGAAATACAAGAAATACAAATTCGTTGTGAGATGGGGCAACTTTTCCCCACACTGTGTCTGGGCTGTCGATTTGATGTTAAAACAGTTATGTATTTATGTATTTGATGTTATACCGCTCGATTGCAGAAAAACGCACACCCTCAAAGGGCACTTCACTATTTGCAAAGTTGGAAAGGACCACAAAGGACATCTATAGCCCAACCTCTGCAATGCAGCAATCGAACCCATCACCCTGATATTAAGATTCCATGCTCTACCGACTGAGCTATCAAGCGTCTTTCTTAAAATACTGGCAAACTTCCCCATAACCAGCAGCCACCGCCCCCACCAGCATCAGGAGAAAGAAAGCCTCTTTTTTCCTACGGACCCTGAAACACGCAGACACGAAAGGCTACTCTACCATTGTTGCTCTATATGCTGCCTAGGTAGGCGGGCTGATGGCGGCTCGCCTTCCGATTGGCCGCGGCGGCACAAAAGCGCTCCGTCGCACACCGTCCGGATTGGCGAGCCGCAAGCCCCGCCTCTTCAAGCGCTCGGCCTCAGGGCGGTTGCGCGCAAAGCGGGGCGGAATAGGAGACAGACGCGCATGCGCGCAAGCCCGCACGCAGCGTAAGGCCCGAGGCTCGCTTTGCCGCCGCTTTCCGTCGAGCGCCTCCCTCAGCGAACCGGCGTCATGCTGCGGGCCTGTCACCGCGCGGGGAGCACAGCGGCTCAGGTGAGGGGAAGGAGAAAGGCGTGAGGGGGAAACGAACGGGCGGCGGGAGCCTCCTCGGGCGCGTGACGGAGGCGAAGGGCGACCATGAGCCCGCGCCTGGCCCGTGAGGAGGAGGGAAGACCCGCGAAGGAGCCCATTGGCTGCCCATATTGGGGGTGGGGGGGTGGGGGCGTCGGCAGCCGGTACGACTCGCGTGGTTCGTCTTCTTTTCATGAATAAATTCAAGACTACATTTCCCATCATGCACTGCGGGACGCTTGGGTCTTGTCTCTATATCTATATTTCTACCCGTATCTCTAGCTAGATGCGTGGCTGCAAATCTAACCGGGGCTTTCGTAGTTCTTTATTGCCTCAGAGGCGGGCGGAAGAGAGCGAAGCCGTGAAACGCTCGTGAGAACGCGTGCTCGCGTGCAGAGGCGGTGCTGTGGATGGGCGCTCCCAGTTGCCGTAGGGTCGCCACCGGAGAGGGGGCTGCTGGGTCTTGTAGGCTCCTTGGATGTCACCTCTAAACCCAGAAACGGCCTCCACGGGTTTCCCTCAATACTTCTTGGGGTTTTCACGTGAAGCAGCCAACTGGCTTCCAGGGGTGTGTCCTTTGGCAAGCAGCGCTGATCTATTTTTTTTAAAAGCCGGCAAGTCCCTTCTCATAGCTGGTAGAAGGACATGACCTTGCTTTAATTATTCTGTGTCCTAAAGATTACACTGTTTAATATCTGCGGCGAGAAGTGTGCTGGAAAGTCTGCTTCCTCATACATATTAAGCAGGCTTGGGTGGCAGAAAACATTATGCACTTACTCTTGAGATGTTCGTTTGTTTTGCAGGCCACAGTGTCAAAAAGAGATTCTAGGGCTGAGCCTAGTTGCAGAGCAAGGCCTGGCTGCCCCACCTTCTTCTGTCATTATCCATTTAGAGATCTTGAAACTACTATTCTAATTAACTAGTAACAGTTTTGGAAAGTGTAGTAGCGTTGGAGCTTCATACTTGCTGAGTTTTTCTTCAAAGCTTAAAATTATTTTTTTGCAATCAGGTATACCTGCCATTTCTATCATGGAACTCAAGGTGGCTTTCAATGATAAACACGGGCTGTTTGCATTGTATATTTTATCATTTAAGAAGCAGCATCCAAAAATCCCTGTTGAAACAAAGTCTTGCTGGAAAGTGTGCAGCAGTTGGGCCAGATAAACTTCTGTCAGGGTAGGTTCTAGATTCTGGACAGCATAACAGCAAAACCAAAACAAAAACCCAAAAATTTCTTGTGCGCACCCACCACATTTCTAATGTTTGTGGGGGACTCAGAGCAGGGCCTCAGAGGTAGATCTTAATGCCTGGGGAGTTTCCTTTCTGATGGGTTATTATTGAAATAAACTGGTCCTAGACTTGTGCCTTCAAAAGTTAACAATAATAATTGAACTTTGAATTGAGCCCGGAGACAAATTGGTAACCAGTAAAGATGACGCTGGATCATTATAATATCACACACACACACATTTTCTGCGGTAATGTTAATTCAGAGCACCTTATAAGCTTTAAGATAATGGTGAACAATAAAACAATGTACCTGTATTAAAAGGGGGGAAAACACATGAAAAAAATGCATCCAAAAGAACAGCTTAAAGTGGTAGTGAAAAAAGACACAATGGCACACTTAAAACTTTCCAAGATGTAAGCCCTGCTGAGTATAGTGGCACAAACTCCTGAGTAAACATATGTAGGATTATGCCGATAAAGACCTTGCCTTAAGAACACCCACTGAAATCAGCCCTGTTTCTAACATTCTAAAAATGGACAATGTGGTGCCCCATCAAGCAGTCTGGGCGCCACAATTGAAGAGCCCCACTTATTCCTGCCCACTGAATTCTGATGTTTAGATTAGTGGAGCAAGAGCTTTGGTGGGTGTTCTTAAAGTGTTCTTTTTGTGACTCCTGTTAGAAAATGGACTCAAAGATGAAGTTGGAATGTAGCCCCAGATTGCTTATTACGGAGTCGTTCTTTTTGATTTATTTAGAAAGAAGGCAAAAAGGGAAGTTCAAAGAGACAGCTGTGAAAATGCCTGGGACTATGACCAAGGCTGTAATCCTATATGTGCTTAGTAGCAGTGAGCCCCATTGAGCATAATGGGTCTTACGCCTGAATAAATATGCATGGGATTGTACTGTAAAACATAGCCAGTTTATACATACTTTGGTGTAACTCATGTTAAATGTTAGTGGGACTTCGGTAAATGTGCATGTAGCTGCATATGTTGAATTTTCTGACCTTCTCTAGAAAGTACTCAAAATATGTTTTTAAACACCTTAAGTAACTTTCATATGTTTTGCTCTTGCTCTTCAATGACAAGGCAATCTTACCATCTGGTCTATAATCATTTGTACAGTTCAGCAGAGAGAGAAGTTCAGGCCTGTGCACTATAAAGTTGCATATAACTGAATGAATTGTAAAGTGAGATTACTGCGTTTCTGTATTCTAGGTTTCTGGGCCACCCTTCGGGTACATTGGGCTGGAAAATACAAGCTACTAAACAACAGAGCTTAGCATGCAGAGTAAAAGCCTTCACACAAATTGACCAAATACTTTATTGTGTGACTATTTTGAAGCCATTGAAGTCTCACAACTGTATGCCAATTCTGACCTTTTGAGCGTGGGTGTTCAAATTCTGGATGCCAATCTGTCTGGCATTTTCAAAGTCATGTTTTCAATTGATGGAAACTCAGTTAGGGTGTGTCATGGAACACAGACTTCCAGAGTTTTCTATTTCCTAACTTCACATATGGTTTTAATGAAGGTTTTGGGCATCTGTTCTTCCTGTGGAAAAACAGAGTTATGCCAACACTTTTAAAGCAGTATTACAGTGCTGTGGGGATTTAAAAAAAAAAAAAGGTTTTTCCACAGAAAGATATTTGCTTGTTACTGGCGAACCTTTTTAGATATACTAAAAATGATTGCCAGAATATCAGGGGCATGTGTGAATATTCTATATAACATTGCATCAGCTCAGTGAAGGGAATTCTAATTTCAGTAAGTTGTTGCAGTTTTTAGCTAATTAAGTTTTAAAACTAACCTGTATCTGACTGAATTTAATATTGCTATTAATATTTAGATGCCGATATTTACAACCCACAACCCTGCAAGCTTTTTGTGTGTGTATTTACAGTGGTGCCTCGCAAGACGAAATTAATTCGTTCCGCAAGTCTCTTCGTCTTGCGGTTTTTTCGTCTTGCGATGCACGGTTTCCCATAGGAAATGCATTGAAAATCAATTAATGCGTTCCTAGGGAAACCGCCTTCAGACCAGGTCCGGGGACAGACTGTCCCCGGACCTCTTCTGAAGGCTGGGGGGGGGGACAAGGGCTTTTCTTCCCACCCCCAGCATTTTAAAAAACCCTGGGACAGCGGAGGACTTCTCCGCTGTCCGGGCGATCTTAAAATGCTGGCGGGCGGCATTTTAAAATCGCCCCGGAACAGCGGAGGACTTCTCCGCTGTCCGGGGCGATTTAAAAGCCCCTGGGAAGGCAGGCAGGGGGGACAAAGACTTTCGCCCCCCGCCCGCCTTCAGAAGGTGTTCCCGCCCCCCCCCCCCGCCCGGCTTCGCAGCAGCGCTACGAAGCCCGGCGGCTGGAGCAGGTGTTCCCGCCCCCCACCCGGCTTCGCAGGCAGCGCTACGAAGCCCGGCGGCTGGGGCAGGTGTTCCCGCCCCCCCCCCCCGCTTCGGAGCAGCGTTCCGAAGCGGGGTGGCTGGGGCAGGTGTTCCCGCCCCCCGCCCGGCTTCGCAGCAGCGCTACGAAGCCCGGCGGCTGGGGCAAGTGTTCCCGCCCCCCCACCCCGCTTCGGAGCAGCGTTCCGAAGCGGGGTGGCTGGGGCAGGTGTTCCCGCCCCCGCCCGGCTTCGCAGCAGCGCTACGAAGCCCGGCGGCTGGGGCAGGTGTTCCCGCCCCCCCACCCCGCTTCGGAGCAGCGTTCCGAAGCGGGGTGGCTGGGGCAGGTGTTCCCGCCCCCGCCCGGCTTCGCAGCAGCGCTACGAAGCCCGGCGGCTGGGGCAAGTGTTCCCGCCCCCCCACCCCGCTTCGGAGCAGCGTTCCGAAGCGGGGTGGCTGGGGCAGGTGTTCCCGCCCCCCGCCCGGCTTCGCAGCAGCGCTACGAAGCCCGGCGGCTGGGGCAGGTGTTCCCGCCCCCCACCCCGCTTCGGAGCAGCGTTCCGAAGCGGGGTGGCTGGGGCAGGTGTTCCCGCCCCCCCCCCGCCCCGGTTTCGGAGGCAGCGTTCCGAAGCGGGGTGGCTGGGGCAGGTGTTCCCGCCCCCCCGCCCGGCTTCGCAGCAGCGCTACGAAGCCCCGGCGGCTGGGGCAGGTGTTCCCGCCCCCCCCCACCCCGCTTCGGAGCACAGGGAGAAGCGATCTCCCCGCCGCCCCTTGCTTCAAAAGAGAAGACCCGCTGTCCCCGGGGCAAGCTTCGTTTTGCGAAGCAAGCCCATAGGGAAATTCGTTCTTGCGAGGCAACTCGAAAACGAAAAAAACCTTTCGTTTTGCAAGTTTTTCGTCTCGCGAGGCGTTCGTCTTGCGGGGGTACCACTGTATTTAGGTTCTGTAAACTGATTCCAATATTGTTCAGAGTGACTCAATTTATCAATCGTTTGAAAGAGATCTCTTGAAAAGAGATAATGTTAGATCATGATTGCAGACTTCCTCTCAGTAGTAAATAAGGTTTGTAAGCTTTTTAAGATCGTGAAATGAGGGATAAAGGTAATCTGCTTTTGTATAATTTTCAGTTAGCATGTCTGGATCTGAGGCTACAATATTTCATGATCTTGCAATGGAGTTAGTTAGATAAATACGCTACTCGGTTTGTTTAAGTGTATTAATGCAACTGTATCAGTAGTCACTTGCTTGGTTACCTGTGGCAAATAAAAATGGCTTCCAGATGACCAGACAAGGTAGTTTTATTAAATAACAAGGACGTTAATGGTTGGTGTTCCTTCAGAGTGGGCCACAAATTTTCTGTATGGGTATGTGTTGGCAGAAGGGATAATGAGATAATGTTATTTGCAAGTCTCCTCTTAACAAAAAGCAAAGCCGCAGCAACAGAACAATGATTCCGTGGTTCTTTTCGAGCTACGTGGAATGGGTTTGTTAACCACAAGTTTCTTCTTTTTCCTTTAGACTTGTCTGTGTGGCAGAAGTTCAGTCCGTCCATTACGTCTGGGTCGTGGATATGCTACATCTGGAGAATCTGGGTAGGTAGATCTTTTTTAAAAAAAATAAATCCTCAGTAAGGGTATTCCTTTTGCTAGATAAACCAGTGCCTAGCAAAACCTTTTTGTTCATTGAGTCAAAAAAAGTGAACAGTAAATAAAATGTGAGACAGTCTTTTGCCACGTGATTGGGCCCCCTCCACATAGATCAGCTGAGGCCATTCTGCACATCATGTCACCAGCTGGTGTGAATGTGTGAAAGGAATTTATGTGCGGTAGCTAGATTGCGGAGCTGTGTGGCTTTTGCCCTGATGGTGCTTTGACAGTGGCTGGATACTATACCATTATTATTTTAATTACATTTATTTATATCCTGTTCTTCCTCCCAAAGGAGCCCAAGGTGTTAGAGAAAGCCCTTGGGCTTATTAAATGTACAAGGCTAAACATTATTATTTTATTTATTAACTCAATTTATATACCACCCTTTATCAAAGGATCTCTGAGTGGTGTAATGGAATAGAAACTGTAATAAGATCTTCGTCTTATTTACAACTATCCTGTCTATCGAAGTGTCTTGTATTAAATCCCCTTTCTGCATATCCTGCTTCAGCCTCCTTAATTAAAGGGCCAACATTATTTTAATTGGCTTAGAAAATATTAGACAGCTATAGCTCTAGGTACTGAACATCTGTAATCCTTGATGCTTTCTGACTTGTGCTATAAATTTATTGTTGTATATCAGCATGGACTTTCTTTTTAAACAGTGTCTCTGCAGGCAAAATCATAGGAGCCAGTGTTTTGTTTGTTGGTGGAGGAGTAGGCGGAACTATTTTATATGCTAAGTATGATCCACGCTTCAGAGAAAATGTAGAGAAGACCATCCCTTATTCCAGCAACGTCTTTGACATGGTACTGGGTCCTTCTTTTAGTATTCCAACACCAAAGAAGCCAGTAAGTTTCTATCTTGGCTTTAATAACACACCTGTCATTTTTCCAATTCTTAAGTTGTGCTTTAGATTTGCACACTGAGAAACCTAATTGATTAGAAAGTTGGATATCCTATTCACTGTCCTCAGGCTTCATAAACGTGATTCAACTGCTGGGGTCAGAGTTTCTTGTGGTAAGCTTTTCATGGGTGTACTGAAAGAGGCTGTGATTTCATGGGTTATGAAGATACTCTGCCATCTTACTTAAAATGTATGTTGTTTAAAGCTGCATTTGCACACTTCTATTCTGATTCTTTTACTCCTATCAAAATATATTGGTTAACTGCCACACCTTTATAGCATTATACACGTTTTCATTGGGATACAACTGTTCCTCGAATTGTCAGATTCCAGTCTGAGAGAGTGCTTGCTTATTAGTTTAAGAGAAGACAGGATTTCACCAAGTTGCCTTCTGTTCCCTTGTAGTCTCGTGCTGATAATGAGTGCCCCTTTGTGAGTGCCTTCACATGTGCACACGACCTTTCAGTGTTGTTGATATGCTGAAAGAAATACCGTATTTTCGTCTATAGGACGCACCCTTTCCCCTCTAATAATGAAGGGGAAATGTGTTTGCGTCCTATGGAGCGAATGCAGGCTTTTGCTGAAGCCTGGAGAGCGAGAGGGGTCGGTGCACACCGACCCCTCTCGCTCTCCAGGCTTCAGGCAGCTATACGCAAACCTTCAGAGGGCGGCAGGAGTTCCCGCCGGGCTCCGAAGGCTTGCGGATAGCAGCCTGTTCTGGGGTTGGGGGAAGCCCGTCCCCAGCCCCGCAAGCTCTGGAGCGGCGGCGAGGTTGCGCGCAATCTTGCCGCCGCTCATGGACCTGTTCTGGGGGCTGGGGTCGGGGAAGCTCGGGGCTTTCCCCTGCCCGAGCCCCGCGGCCGGGGGGGCGGGAAATAAAAGTTTTTTTTCTTTATTTCCCCCCCTAAAAACTAGGTGCGCCCTATGGAGCAAAAAATATGGTAATCTAGCCTTGGGATATATTGTCACTTTGAAATGTTGTTTCTCTTCTGCTGCTTTTCTTACGCTGCCCAAACTGCTTCTTCCATCTTGTTCAGGGTGGGACTGATGGGAGTTGTAATTCAGCAGCATCTGGAAGACCACAAGTTATCTACCCCAGTCTAGTAGATAATAGAATTTTTAAAAACTGTTTTCATTTAGGATTATTATATTCAAATCATTGTCCATTTTTCCAAATGTAGAGATTCATATGAACCTCTCGCTTTAGGAGTTTTGCATATTTAAGTGGTATATCTGTCTTACAAGCGTTCTTCATAGTATGCAATTCAATGAGATTTCCACCCCCCCCCCCCACAGATACAGTCGGGTCCATTGAAAATCTCCTCTGTAACAGAGGTAATGAAAGAATCTAAAACAACCTGCTGCCAAAACTGCAAAGAGTAAAAACCGAGGAACCCTCAACTGCTAGTGAGAAAAAGAAGGTAAGATATGATACCTTATAAAAATATGCAGGAGGGGGCTGACTTGTTTATGAGCAACTTATGTTTTGGAACTTGAAACTACAGTCATACCTTGGAAGTCAAACTGAATCCGTTTCGGAAGTCCGTTCAACTTCCAAAACGTTTGAAAACCAAAGTGCAGCTTCTGATTGGCTGTAGGACTAAAGAATGTTCTTTTGCAACCTCTCGTTCCAAAAACTCACATACAGTTGCAAAATTCTGTGTTGTGTTCATATGGTGCAGAAAGCATGGCAATCTAAATTACTAAATTTTATATCTCACCCTTCCGCCGAAAGAAGCCAAGATGGCAAACATCTGCAATAAAAATCTCAAGAAAGAAGAGTTAGGACCAAATAAAAGCAGTAAAAGAGGCTCAGAATCTTCAAATCGTTTCCTTTTTTCAAAAGTTACTCCATTCAGATGGTATGTCAGTTTATAAAATTTTTGTCATGGTTTTAATTTATGTTTGCATGTGGATAATTACAGCATGTTCAGAAGCGGCTCAGATAATTTCAGCAACAGGTGAAGCTGTTTCCGTTCCAGCTCCAGGCATGCAGGAGACAGAACAGAGCAAAAGTCATGCACCTCTTGAAGGAAAACACAAACCTCCTGACCTAGGTATTGTTTGGTTCTTTTTGCAAACTCCCGGCTTCTTTACTTTTGAAATTCTGAAAGAAAAGAACTTTGCAAACTAGAGTTAAGTTCTGATGAATCCCTTTGTTTGTTCCATTGTTCGCTCTGGTGGCCTTATCAAATTTTAATCAAGATACATGAAGGAAAAGAGAATATATTTGTAAGTGATGATAGAATTCACCAGGGGTCCAGACATTTTGATTGGCTTCAATAGCCTTGCCAGAATCTCTGTTATAAGGACCTTCCTCCTGCCCTTCAAACAGTCTTAATACAGTACATGTTTCTCTGGAAGAAAATCATTTTTCTTTGCCCAATAAAGCTTACTCCCAGGTCAGGAAGTGACTGTAGAGTTGAAAGCACAGGTGGCTTCCTCATGCTGTGCCTCCATGAGATATTGAAGACAGTTTCTTCTCAGGTCCGTATCTTGGAGATGGGA